ACTCCATGCTGGTCTGCCAGGAAACCTTTACAATAGAGACCCTGGCTGCACTGGGATTTTTCATGCATAATAAATAAAGCAACAGACTAGCAGATTCAAGCTCCTTGCTGAACACCAGTGCCCTCCACCGTGTATGCTGAAGATTCCTCCAAATACTACAGCAACAGAGAGAATTTATGATTTTTCTCTTCATGACAGACTGCTGAGTCCCCCGGGACCAAATGTCAGACACATGACTACATCTGCCGGCTTCGTGGGGCTGCCGCGAACATCTAAATAATACTGTCAGCATAACGCAGAGATCCATCCATCAGCCTGCACAGCCTCCTCTCCCCATTGGTGCTCACTCTGCCATAGAAATATATCTTTCATAATCCGTTACAGTACTTTCCCGGCTGATGCTTTATACAATAATTCAGTTGGAGTCGTAGAACTTTACTAAGAGAATGTAACTCATTAATTAAGAGGCAGTGGCTCCCACGTAGGAACCCTTCAGCTTCCTTATTACAAAATGTGGAACCAAAGTGTTTGGGATGCCATTAACACCACTACCACCTCAGGATGTGTATCACCAGCTCCCTAAGTTTTGATCACTTTGATCACATTTGTTTTTTGGCTCATAATTGCTATGTCCTACCAGTGTAAAAATATAAAAAACAAATTTTAACAGATCATGAAATAACAACTCTTTTGCTGCCTCTCTAGCACTATTGCACACTTTAATTCAGACCATTTGAAGCATGACCTGCCATTTGAGCGGAGGGATATTTTATCCTAATTTCCTCTACAAAGGCTACTTCCATTAAATTTATTATAGCTGTTTACTCTCCAGCTGGATGAATTCCAGCTTCAGAAGGATGCAAATGCCCGTGTCATGATGCTTACAGCTGCAATTGCACATAAGCCACAGAGAAGACAGAATCTTGAAGCTCGTTCTAAAATACAGCAAACAAAAAAAGCAGTGGGAGACAAAACGAACCCTCTTCTGGTAGGGCCTATGATTTAGCAGAAATGTTGAGAAGTGATTTTAAAAATGTTTCATGATAATGCTGTTGTATTGAACATTCTGAAATGGTGCTTAATGTGATCAGTCAGGACTTTGTCTCCTCATATGTCACTTGTGCTTCCATGTGAAAAACAAATTCATGATTGGGTGGCCACCTTGGTATTTGGGGTTGGTTAATTAACATTAATTAATGGTGCCCTCTCCCCTACCATTAGTCACGTGAAAAGCAGTGCTAAGTAGGTAACCTAAAAAGAAAAAAAAGCTGAAGAAGGTAGAGAAGAAGTATCAAATGAGTAACTGCACAACAAAAATAATCACAAAGCCCCCAGTTTCTTCCTGTGAACACTCATGCACCACCATCACCCGCACTGGCAGTGCCTCGATGGTGTGGGATGCTACACAGAGGTAGCCAAGACTGGATTTGTTGACTACCTCACTGAAGGACATCTTAAATCCTCCATGCAAGAAACTAACATAGCCCTGAGAAGTCAGAATTCACCACACTGACTATGAAAATGCAAGGAAAACCCATTTGCACTATCTGAAGTAACCACATGTCCGAACACTTAACATTTTCTGGTATGGTGTTTTGAAGAGGGTAAACTTGAAACATCCTCATCTCTCTCTTCCAGACACACAAATTCCCCTTTGAAGGCTGCTTTAAAGCTGGACTTCAACTGAAACTAATTAGCTTTTAAAACTGTTTCTAAAACAGCCACTTTTCCCTACACATCCTCCAGTACCTTTTGTTTAGAAGATTTTTATTGGTTTATACAGGTTGAAAAAAGTACTAAAAGCAAGAGCAAAGGAGATATTATGCATAACTAAGGTTTTGGGGAGCCAGACTACAGAATTGTCATCCTTGTAATGATTTTTTTTATTTAACTACTTCAAAGAGGCTTGAATAAAATTTCAGTATTTCATTTTAATAAAAATAAGACATCTGCATTTGGAGGTTCTTCAAGGCATTCTGTCTCATGTCCTGTGGTTGAAGCATAGTCAAGGCATTGTTGCATTTTATAGCATCTCTATTTCTGCATAGTTAATACTGCTTGATTATTTAAGTTGTAGCATTACATGAGCTGCATGTGGTATGGTAAGTGTTCTCTTAGAAGATGACTATTCTCTTTTACAAAAAAGGAGGGTCAAAGAGCCTTCTAAACACATGCATTTTAGGGTAACAATCAAACCTCCTTACTTCTTCAGTGTTGAAAACACTATAGACTCACAAACCTGGAAAAGCTCAACTTTCTCACAGTGATTTAGTTTCACTGTGTGCTGCAGGCATTCAAAGATTCTGTCTTAGTATCATGAAGTTCAGCACTAACATTGCAGTACCATACTCAGGTAGAAAAGCCACTCAGTAAATGCACACACAGTTTTCAGTGCTGGAAAATGCTTTTCTGGTATGTTATACAAAATTTTTATTAAATAAATTTCCTTCTCTTTCAGTCAAAAATAGGCTGGCTCCCATGATGATTAATCCTCGATTGAGGTGAAAAGTGCAAGAACTTTTGTTCTCAAGTGAAAAGTCACACAAACATGAAAAGATATTACAATACTTAAAAATTTGAGAATTAATATCACAGGACAACACCAAACCAAAACAAAAATTTGTTTTTGCCAGGGGCTAGAACTGAAGATGTTTACACTTTTTCATGTACTAATATCAACTTTTAACTCACTGAGTTCAAAAAAGTAGGTAAATTTTGAGACAACCCATATCTCATTATCCTTCCTATCAAACATTTATCTCATGATCACATAAAAGCTGAAATTCTACCAATTTTGCCACAAAAACCAAGGGAGTAGGGGCCATCACAGTGAGGAGAACAGACAAATTTTGTGCTGACTTCATTAGAAGAAAGCAAGAAAAGTGAATTCAAATAACTGAACCATACAAATGGATGCAGACTATATAAAGTAACATGACAAAACCTAACTGCTTGCTAGCCCTACAAATCAAACAGCTTGTATCCCCGGCAAGATGATTGGAACACTACTTCAGCATTTGTGGAATGAATCATAAATCTAGCTTCTGTCTTAAAAATGTTTCTATTTAAAAAATGATGCAACGAGAAAAACACCAACGCATTTGTATATACAGCCAGAAATAGCGACTTGAATATACTGTTAAAGGCTTTTGAGTTTACCCTTCATATTGAATTTGAGTTATTTCAGTTTAAAAGTAAATCATTCAAGGATTTACTAATTAATAAAAACATTGATGATATCATTGATCTAAACAAAATCTGCTTGAATGATAAGTTATTAGAAAATTGTGCGATCGAGTAGACACATTCATGGAAATCTATGTGATATCTTTAAGGGCTATAACAGCTGACAACTTTGAACTAAGAGTGACCAGTGATGAGAAAAATCCTACCACAGAATGTTCTAAAATGTCAACCTTTTAAAAGCATATGTAAAAATTCATTTAGGGGATAAATCGTATCACAGTTCTTCAGCTCAAAAAATTTGCAACATCACATTTCTGTTGTCCTTAAAATAAAATTGACTAGCTTCCAGCATTGATAATTTCCCCATTGAATTCAATGAGCGTAGCACACAGCTTAGAAAGGCATATGATGTTCTTTACATATGCAAAGTTTTTAGTTTATTGTAACTTTCTTCTAGAATTTCTTTCCCCTACCCATTTTTTCCAGAGATTTCTGCCTAGAAGGCAGAAAGCTTAAAAGGAGAGAGAAGGTTGTTCAAACTCAATGCTTTGCTTTCATGCACACTGGAAGGATCTGCCAACAGTACACTTTTACTTCATCAATTCAGCAAGAAACAAGATTGCTCTTCAGTCGACATTCAGAAGCACCAGCCTGACAATTAATACAGGCATGTGACTCTGAACAAGTAGGAAGAAGGCAAAGGGAAAATCTTTTCTTAAATCCAGCCATAAGCTAAGCAGAACTTAACAAGTTCACTACAAGGTTTAACTGAAGAAGGATAATTGGAAAATATTCTACATCATATATGGAAATATACTATATATACAGAATGCCACCTCTGTGGCCACTTAACGAAACCTAAACAATTAGAGCATGGAATGCAGACTGGATACCATAGAGCTGCTTTCTCTGCATCTGTCATACCACACTTAAAAAAAATTAAGGAAATTATTTACTTAATAATACATCAGTCATGGCAATCAAAAATATCTATGTGGATAGAGTGCTGAACTGAAACTTAGAAGACTGTTTCATTTCCAGCTGTGATTGGCATAGAATTCCTTTCTTCGTCTGTCTTGCCCTGACTATTAATGGGGATAATTATGCTGACCTCCTTTTTTAAAGCACTTGAAAATCTACAGCTAAAAATTTTCTTAAACAAATAATTCTAAATAATAGCAAACATATCTCAGACTTCAGTTATCAACTCATCACATGAAAGCAAGGATCTGATTGTTCCTGGAATTAGTACACAAAATTCAATTTCTCCACTGACATTAGCTTTCTAGTACTTTCATCACTATTACAACAGCTGCATTTTATACTAAAATGCACTAAAAAACCTGACTACCATTGATTGACATTTTGAAGATTTTCCAAGTTTCGAGCTACAAAAGGCCCAGGATTTTTTTTTTGTCACTGAAAATTTCCATGTTAATAATTTTAGTCTTATTAAACAAAGATACTTTTGATCAGCTTCAGCTTAGATGCTATTCTGAATCTCCAGCTTGAATTGTTGCAATGGCTCCAATCTCAACGAGGTTGTACTACTTTGCAAATGTATTTTGCTGTTACATCCATCAGCCTCTCTCTCCTTACAGGGGTTGGTCTATAAGGACACATTTTCATCATCACCACTTATGTCACTGGATTCTCTCCTTCCTTCCTCTGTATCTATATGTTACTTTCCTCCTTTCAGCTGCACACAATGCCCTTAATCACTCAATATGTTTGATGTGCACGTTTTTCTTTCATCTTGTGCTACTAAAAGTGAAAAAAGGTGAGAGGATTTGTTATAAAATTAAGCTACTTACCAACTACTGCCAGATTATGCTCTGAGCCACATGCAATCTGAAAAAGAAATACATATGACTAAATGAGAACCTGCTCACCAGTAGGAAAACAGCCACAATTATGATAGGAAATTAAAAATTAACCTGAAACAAACAACTACACTTTGTAGGATGCAAAATCAAGGTTGAAGATCTGTCACTCTTAAACGAAATTTCATTTCTAACCTCACTTAGGGGCTCAGTGGCTGGAGTGTATGTTTGTTTTCTTAATAGAGGCATTTTCTTTTCCAAATGCAGTCACCATCACCACTGACATTTCAATCCTCTGAAGTAAGACTGGTCACAATTCTACAAAAACACCACACCCTTGAAAACATTCACTGGATCCAACAAGAGGCATAAAGCAAAAGCAGATTAAGCCTTTGCAAGCTCAGAGCCATAGAGACAGATGGGATTCAAAAGGGCGATGAAGATCTCCATTTCTCTTATCCACAGTTTTTCCAGCTGATCCCTGGAGAACTGCTCAAAGTACACAGGCTCAGTGTGCTAAACCTGAAGTAATATGATCCCTTTGGCCATTTGACTAACATGGAGAAAAGCTACCATAGAACTCAACTCTTCTATTAGGTCATTAATGATGGAAATCAGTTATTAACTTCTTTTCAAAGCAAACTCATAGTCAATGTATTTGTCTTTCTTTGCAGCTGCTGTGAACATGTCTGATGTTTAAACTGCTTTAGCACATATCACGTAGTATCACTGAGGTTTTTTAAGTTTTTCACAGATGATGGTAACACAAGCACCAAGAGTAGCCCACTGTCCTACTGCAAGGGCTTGTCTTTCCCATTGAATTCTTTCTCAATCTCACTGCTCGCATAATTGTCTTATGCAATACAGACATCACTTTACACAAGGTTACTCTGCTGAGTGTCCTCAAGTTTTTAATTGAAATAAAAGCAACCCTCACAAAATTCTGTGTCCCGTTCACTGTCTTGCACCTACTTGCCCATTACACCTACTACTGAGCTGGAGAAAATTAATAGGCACATTCTCCTTGAAGTGTATTTACAATGGTAAAATATAATATAGAAGTATATGCTCAATTATATTGAAAAATAGAAGTCCACACCATCAAAATTTTATATGATTTTATGCATGCATAACTTCATAGTTTTTACGGCCAGAGAAACAGCTATAATCACCTCAATGGCTGCAGAACATAAAACCACAGAAGTTAATAAAACAGATCTTCTACTCAGCTTACTGTGCTTGAGTATTTATTGGAGAAGAAACACCCAAAGACTGACACGCAGACTAGTTTGAGCACTTGTGTTACAAATGAACACCTCAATCACTACTGCTCATAACGCACCCCCATCACAAATGTGACATGGAAATATCTGGGCAATGCCATCCCCACAAAATACTGGCAGGGAAGACAAAAAAGACTCTTTAGGACAGGGGTGCTTAGCCAGCACAGTAAAGCACTTGCTAAAACAGAAAAAATAATTCAAGACACAGGACACGAGGTCTCATCTTCAGAAAAATCAAGACAGAGCAGCAGGAAAAGCAACATAATGCAAGAGCACTAGCAGGATTGCATCAAGTCTTTTATCCCACAATATTGCAGACAGGAGAAACTCTAAATCCTGACTGTTAAATGCATAAATCATCAGCATATCCAAGATCACTATCCTCACCACAAGACAGAACCCTACACAGGAGCTGGGCTGGTTCCTAATGCCTATTTACTAGCTAATGCTCTCACCTGTACTTCTCAAGCTTAAAAGCTGATGCCATGGAAACAAGATCCACACATGGAAACACATGAAAAGCCTTTCTAGCAAAAGAGCAAATTCTCATCTTCACCAAGTGCTGAAAACTGGATATACTGGAGCTGCCACTAATAAAATAAATAAATTTTATCTGAGGTGTGTATAACCCTATCTTGGCTACTTCCCTGGGAAATACACTAACACAGGCACAGATTCAAAAGCATCAGCACAAAAGAACTGCTCAGGCTGGTGACTGATGCTGCCAGGACCTGCTTCAGAAACACTACATTAAAAAAGAAAAAAGAAAGCCCCACACAAACAAGGTGTTATTTAGATTGTAAAAAACATTCCCTGACGAAGCAGCATTTTCTTCCTACATCTACATCTTCCTAAATGCCTAATAGAGGCATTTACAGAGCTGCAAGCCAGATAAAAGAACGCTGGTGATCTCAAACAGCTTTGCACGCTATTCATGCAGCTGTTACTCTGCCCACTGTTCAGAGCCACCCAACAGCCAGCTACCAGGTTGTAAGGGAGTCAATCAATCCAGTCCAGGAATTCCTGCATCATACAGACTGGGCAGTGCTGGGGGGCTGCCCCCATGGCAGCCACTCATGGCCAATGCACTGTACAAACACACTAGCTACAGCTCTGGGGCTGACGGGGTACAAGCTACTGCAAAGCATCAGTGAGTAGTGCTGCCTCACCCCTTTTGGGTGGGTAAAAGCCACCTCAGTGGAAGTGCCAGCTTTGCTAAAAATTACTGAAGTCAAACAAAATCACTGCTGAAGGCAGTGGATTCACCTTCAATGGCCCAGAGGAAGGACATCACACGCCATGTACCAGCAGCAGTTCTATGCTCTAGAGAAGAATTTGCTAGATTGAGAGCACAAGGTTCACTACAACTCTGCCTTATCTCAGGGCTTCACCAACTGACAACACAGACTGACTTTGGAGGAACCCCCAAATAAAAAAACACCCTCAGGGGACTCTAAAGTTAGCTTTCTGGAACACCTTATTCACCATCCATGCTGTTTGTTTACACCATCCACCCACAAGATTTCTGCTGGCCAGCACACCTATGACTCCAGAGCTCAGGAGGGACCACACCACACCACAGAAGGAAAGCCAGGTTGCCACTGCTTAATGAACAGCACTGCCTTGCAGGTATTTCACAACATCTTTTTTACAATAAGTTTTAGAATGTGACACCCCATGACTCCCCACAGTAGGCAACAATCAGCTAAGAATGACAGATTTGCTGATACAAAGACAGACCAGCCAGAGACCAGCATTGCTGAACAGATGTTTTATGCTTACATTAGATGTAATAAGCTCTGTAGCCAGGGCAGGTCCTTGGGAAAAGCCTGGTATTTACTGCAGCAACCATAATTTTCTGGCTACTTCTCTTTGGTCCCCACCCCCAAAGTGCTGCAGAGAAATTAAATTCCAACAGACATCTGCATGCTTCCAGTGGATAAGTACATTCAGGGATACTTATAAACACATAATAATGCTTTCTAATTAGGCAATAATTTTACATTATGTTTTCATTGAAAAAAAAATCACTAATCTTAAAGACAAATCAGAGAGACTGCTGCTGAGTGAAGCATTCTGTGAGCTTAAGAAACATGACCCTCTACACAGAAACAATTCATACTGAAGTTCTCAGTTTGGAGGGAAATCTCAGAAGAGTTGTGAAGAATACTGTGATCTCTATATAAACGGTCTCAAAGCATTTGATAAACACCTATAAGGCTAGCAAAAAATGCTTAGGGACCATTTTACTCAGAACTTATTTACCTTATTATCTGTGCTCTTTCAACCACACATAAATTGTTTGTTTTTTCACTTAAATTGTGTGCTTTCAAGCTGTCTTCTACCTAGCAATGGTTGTGGTTCAGATCCATCCATCCATCCAGATTAAATACATGTGGTACAAGCAGCCAAGGGACCAGCATTTTATTAATCATAAATAGTATGATAAATAGCACAATCACAGACATAAGTTGCATGGACAGTGAGGAAAGACCTTAGCACAGCAACCACGAACTCTGGGCAAAACACCAGCATCTTTCTGCAGCCTGCCTATATGCTTATGGCCCAGTCCAAACAAAAATTGACTGAATGTAAAATCAGTGGGTTATTCAAAATAGGGAAAATATTTAAGAGTAAAAAAAATTTTCTATCTTAAAAACACTATATGAAGTAATAAAATAATAACATTTAGTATATATTATATAACTGTTCCCATATATATGTGTGTATGTGTATAAATATATAAAAGAAAATACATGTTAGGAAGAGAAGGTTATCTACTAAAGATGATGTTTATCAGGGATGAAGGTTCAGAGGAGAGATGAAGGTAAATACAGAGCACCTCCCTCTTCTATCTGAGATAGAGATCTTTCTGAAGAAGAGCTATCCCCCTTGTTTTGCTTCCCCCACAGTCCTATGAGGTAAGACACTATTGCTCCTCACCTTTGGAGACAGCAAGCAAACATACACAGGATAAAACTAACGTGGATATTTAGACATAGTCTCCTATTGATTTCAAACGGTAATTAAGAGACAAAAATACCTTTTGTCAGCCGTCCCCTAAGGGACTTTGGAACACTATAACAAAACAAGTCTGACAAAATGTATAAAAATCCAAGTTTCAAGTTAGTACCTTGACCACAAGGCTATTCTTTCTTTTCTTTCTGTACTCCCAGGGCTCCAACTGAGGATCTGTTGTGCAACCCATCAGGAAAGAGATGGGAGTCAGAACTGCAGGCAAAGTCAGTCCCACACTGCAGCAGAGGGGAAGAGACAATATGGGGAAGGGGTGCAAGGAAGAGGCACAGGGAGCTGCACTCACAACAGGGATTGCAGAATCAAAAATCACAAGCATCCAAACATCAGAGTGCTTAGCTAGAACAACAAAAGGATCTCAGTGCCATTTATTTTTGTTTCATTGCCCTGTGAGTGCACAGTAATTCCCTTCAGTTGCAATTACTTCCCAAAACATGAAAGGCTACAGAGGCTTCCATGACCTTGTAGAGATGAGAGTACAATGTACAAAAATGATTTTTAAGGATGAATGAAGATAGGACATTTAAGTTTTATCCAGATTCTAGTCACTACCATTTCTAACTTTCTAATTGCACCAAAGCATAGCTCTTCTGGGGGCAAGGAAAGGGAAGGAAACTTGCAAAAGAGTGAACACGTAAGTACTTTTATCCAGGACTTTAGCCACAGTATCTCAAATCTTTTGACAAATATCACTGTAAGGAAATTGCTA